AAAGGTCAGTGACTGCTCTGGGGGCATGCCTCATGGGCAGTGGAAGTCTGGGGCAACAAGAAAGTGATCTAGAGTTTATTATTGCTTGATTCCCACTTCCCAGTTATATTCCCTGGTTTTGGCCCGGTAAGTTGCTATTGTCCACTTGTTTTCCCCCTCTGCTTGTTTTTCCCTCCTATCGGACTCTGACGGGTACTTCTTCCCTCCTTACTCCTTCACCTTCGGTCTAGTCTCCAAGCTAGGGTGGTAGATCGAGTTATATCCACGCACATCATACTACTCTCAGTAGACCGGGGAGTTGCTTCCACGCACATGGAATCGATAAACATCTACCCTTCCGGTCGATCTGAGATGGCCATTGATCTTTCATTCTGCTTCTTTTTTTTTTCTCTCCCAAACAGAGCTCGGTGACGCGTCACCATGGACCTATGATGCTAATATGGCGCTCTCCAGATCTTCCCTTTCCCGTGAAGATCCACACGACTTGTTGAGATGGCGGACCCCACCGATCTGAATCTCGACGCGCCTAGCGATCTCCAAGATATCCCAGATATGTCCATGCAGCTTGTGCCTCCTCCAGAAGGTACATATCCCGATAAGTAAGTATGCGTGAAATTATGCTAGCCACCCTTTTGTCACCCAATTCTAGATACATTGCTTGGACCGCTACTCATATCCTTCCCTACATGTAAAGAGCTACTCTCCTTGCAGCAGTGCAAGCTCACAGCAAAGCACATGGATACAATGTTGTTGTCAAGTCTTCCAGTACTCCTACCGAGAAGAAGCCCGGGCGTACAGCTAAAGTGTGGCTCCGGTGCGATCGGGGAGGCCATTATCGGCCCCGGAACGGGCTCACAGAGGAGACGAGAAAGCGACGACGAACATCTCGTTTGATGGACTGTCCGTTTATGCTGGTCGCAGCTGGTACTCCTGGCATCTGGACGTTGACAGTATTAAATCCAACCCATAATCACGGGCCTATTGTCGAGAAGCCGCGACCAGTACCGCAGCATAAGGTTCGAAAGGGCCAGATCCCAGCGGTTCCCTATGATTGGCCGCATGATGCGACTCTAACGCCATATACGACTGCTTTAGTCATCATCGATATGCAGAAGGATTGTATGTATTCCGCCTGGCCATATTGCGCTTGGGTCCGAATGCTCATCACTGACGGTCATCGCAGTTTGTTCGCCTGGCGGTTACATGGAATACCAAGGATACGACATTTCAGCAGCGCAGAGTCTCATACCCAAACTGCAGCAGGTACTAAATACATTCCGTACTGCCGGATTTCCTGTTTACCACACTCGTGAAGGTAAATCCACTGATACTCTACCCCCGGCAGTGGACTTCTGATTGACATTGTCGTAAAGGTCATCGGCCTGATTTATCAACTCTCTCAAATAGAGAGGCGTTTCGGTCGCGGAATAATGCATCCGGCATGGGTATTGGCTCCCAAGGGCCTTTGGGACGTTTGTTGATACGCGGGGAAGTCGGACACGACATCGTCGACGAACTGTATCCGCTGCCTGAGGAGCCAGTCATCGACAAGCCGGGTAAAAGTGCGTTCTCGTACACGGACTTTGAGCTCCTTCTTCGGAACAAGGGCATCAAAAATCTGGTCATTGCAGGTGTCACCACGGATGTCTGTGTGTCGACGACGATGCGAGAGGCGAATGATAAAGGCTTCGACTGTGTGATCCTGGAAGACTGCACTGCCGCGGGCGAGCCGTCCCTCCATGTGAGCACGCTTGAATCCGTCAAGATGGAAGGCGGCATTTTTGGCGCTGTCGCCAAAGCAGACGACGTGATCCATGCGGTGGAGAATTTCAAAAACAGCACTGTGAAGAAGCTGGCCCCTCAAATGACGACATGAAGTGGGTCGGAGTAATCTTGGGGGAGGCGTTCTGTTGGTCTTGGAAACAGCGACAGCGGCATATCTTTTCTTGCTTTTCAGTCCCCATTTCGCATACATTTGGGAGAACGTACTTTCGTCCGTTCATCTTGCAGGACATGCTCCATCCTTTGAACATTAGCGAGCTTATTGTTGCATGCCAAATTCCCCCTTGGTCGATGCAAGCAAAATTTTGAAAACAGAGCAACAATATGGGATACTCTGCATTTGGTACACGGCGCAGAGGTTAATGGGCATCAAATAAATACACGAGTTGAACCCATGCACTTTCGATGCATCTTTCAATGCAAAGTCCATAGCAGTAGAATAAGCCACACCCCAACGCCACGCTCAGCAAGGTAAAATGCATCAGCCGTAAAAGGGCAGGCAAAGAATCACAGCCACTTCTTCCCCGCAGCCACAACCCTCGCCCGAAACACCGGACTCCGGATCTCCATCCCCTGCCGATAAAACGGACTCATGGCCGTCTTGACGTAATTCTCATACACCTCGTTCATGAATTGCCGCACCGCCTCCTCCGTCTGCGGCGAGGTCGGGTTCGCCGCGATCGAGCTACTCGACGCACGGGACGAGCTGCCCCCACCAACGGAGAAGGACGAGCCGAGCAGCGACGAGCCGGACCCCGCAGTCCCCGTTGAAGGCAGCTGAGGCGGCTGGTGCAGAAGCAGAAATCTTGTCCCGGAGGGTGTGAGGAACGCGGAGATATACGCTGAAGCGGGGGGGTAGGTATCGATGTGCTTGAGGTACCTGTACATTTAACATTGAGCATTCAATCACAACCCCCAGTGAGATTGGAAATGCAGGGGCTTACATGTTGCCATTCATCCATTGGGCTTCCTCGACGATGTCCAGACTCGAGTGGATGATGAACTGGTTCATGTATTGCGCTGTGTCTGGGAAACGGAATCGGGCGATGCCATCTCCGCCGCCTTTGGAGGTGCCGAAGGCGATGTTGAATAGAGGGGCGTCGGTGGGTGAGAGGATGGTGAAGTAGTATGACATTTTCTGTTTTTGGACAGGTAATCACTTCAAGAGGGAAATAGTCGTTCACTCCGGAAGTGTAAGGTAGTAAATAACATGGGGAACATGGGTCCGTCTGTTTGGTGGAAATGATTGAGTCACGTGGCTGATAAGATAACCATCTCATGAACTCATCAGCTTCACTACGGACTAAGTACTCTTCAACTTCAATATACGTTGCTATATCCCACAGCACGAAAGTTGGGACAGGTACTACAGTCTCTGTCTACTAGCACCATGCCCCCTCCGAAATTGTCCTACGGGCTCAACCTCCCCAGCAAAAAGCCCCCAACCTCGAAACTCGGACCGCCAGGTCCCCAGAAACGCAAGAAGACCATCTTCGACTCCGACTCGGAAGGCGACAGCCAAGAGAATGCACGCGACGGCGGCGGCGACGGTCCCATCGAGATAACAACAATCGGCGGGCTCGAAGAACCGGCCAGACCGTCCACCAAGGACCGACAAACCACAGAACCGCCCGCAAAACGAAAACCGCCGGCTGGCCCCCCAACCGGCAAACCCAACATCAAACCCCTAAGCAAGAGCTCCATATTCGCCGACGAGGAAGAGGCGCAAGAACCACAAGCAATGCCCCTGGGTCTCAATCCCGCCAAAAGCAAAAGCCCCGAGTACACGAACCTCTCGGCCCTCCGCAGCAGCAAGAAACACGCCGAGGACGCCCAACAGCTCGACCCCACCATCTACTCCTACGACGCCATCTACGACAGCCTGCACGCCGCCAAATCCGACAAAGCCAAAGCCGCCTCGCCTGACGCCCAGAGCGACGGGCCACGGTACATGACCTCACTCCTGCGCAGCGCAGAGATCCGCAAGCGGGACCAGCTGCGCGCGCGGGATCGACTCCTCGCCAAGGAGCGCGAGGCAGAAGGCGACGAGTTCGCCGAGAAGGAGAAGTTCGTGACCTCCGCATACAAGGCGCAGCAGGAGGAGCTGCGACGGATCGAGCAGGAAGAAGCGGAGCGGGAGCGGCAGGAGGAGGAGCGGCGGAAGCAGAACGGCGGGACGGGCATGGTCGGGTTCTACCGGGACATGCTATCGCGGGACGAGCAGCGGCACGAGGAAATCGTCAAGGCGGCGGAGGAGGCCGCGCGCCGGGTGCAGGCGGGCGAAGTCCCCGCCGACGAAGCCGAAGCAAACAAGGAGAAGACCGAGGCGCAGATCGCCGCGGAGCTCAACGCCAGGGGCGCGCACATCGCCATCAACGACGAGGGCGAGATCGTCGACAAGCGGCAGCTGCTGTCTGCCGGGCTGAACGTCGCGCCCAAGCCCAAGCCGTCCGCCTCGGCGAGCGCCGCTGCGGCGGCTGCTCGTGCGGCTGCCAACAAGCCCCGTCTCGACTCGGGGCACCACACGGCGCGGGCGAACCAGCGCGCCCGCCAGACGGAGATGATCGCCCAGCAGCTGGAGAAGAAGGCCCGAGAGGAGGCCGAGGCCGAGGCCGCGCGACAGCGGGAGATCGCGGAGCGCACCCGTACTCGCAAGACGGAAACGGATGTGATGAGCGCGAAGGGGCGATACCTGGCGAGAAAGAGGGAGCGAGAAGAGGCGGCCAAGAAAGGGTCGTAACCTCGCTTGTTCGTGTTTATTCCTTTGCATCCGCCTTGGTCAGGTTCTTGGAGTTAGCAGTGCATTTATGGCGTTCGATCATTTTAATTTATATGTAGAATACCTTGAACTGGGAGGAAATAACGTACTAAATCTACCGGATTACCATCCAAAGCATTCAGAAGTATCCTCGAGAATGGATATATATATATTCGGCGGAGAGCATGACACAACAAGTGAAGCATGATTAGACTTTATATTTAGGCATGCTCTATACTACACTAATCACTGATAAAACAAAACAGTCGTAACTCGTAATGCAGATAGACAGTCGTCAAGGATCACACGATAATAACAATACCAGCCCTATTTTCATATACCCAATTTTATACGGATGCAACCAGCCCCATGCAACCATGCACAATGCATACAGTCATTTACTTTGAAGAAAAGAGATTGAACCTCAACGCCTGAATAAGCCCGGAAGTACGGAGTAGACTCACGCAGTCAGGGCAAAACTCAGCCCCATTAACCCCATCCCAGCAATGGCGAATCCGACCCCGACCCCGCGATTGTGCGTCAATCCCAGCCCTTCACTGAAAAGCTGCAGGCCAACCGAAGTCATAATGCCGGCTGTGGCAGCGAACATGCCGCCATAAACACCCCAGGAGGGACCGGTCGTCTCGTCGTGGTGGCCGGCTTTCTGCGCGCCCCAGATCCAAAGAGCGGCGAGGGCGGCGCCGGCGGGCTGGCTGATTCCGCCCAGTAAGCTGGACCAGAACATGGCTTTCCAGCGGGAATTGAGCGCGAGATAGAGCGGCAGGGCCATGGCGAAGCCTTCGCTGATATTGTGGATGAAGAGGGCAACGAAGACGGTCATGCCGAGCGTGGGGCTGGCGTGATTGGTAGCGTATGTGATGAAGCCCTCTGGGAGCTTGTGCAGGGCAATGGCCAACGAAGTCTGGAGTCCGATAGCGAGAAAGGCATTCTGGGGCACGTGGTGGTGGTGTTGCGCCGATGTGGGCCGTGGAGCTTTGGTCGAATCGTTTTGATCTTCTGGAGATTTGTGGGGATAGACTTCCAGACCTGCCCGCAAGGAGGATGCGCTGCTTTGGTTTTCCTGGGAGTTACCGGCATCCAATGGTCCCGAGAAGGCTTGTATCGAATCATGCGACTGGGCGAGCAACCCTGGGCCAGCGCCTTCTTCAGATCCTGCGCGTTCCGAGTCCAGCTGGACACCAATGCTGTGATGCGTGGTTAAGGAAGGGCGAGAAATCTCCTCGACGACGCTAATCATCTGCGTGTTAGTGAGGATCTTGGAACATTCAAGACCGCAAGTCTGCGAAAAACCATAGCACGGGCCGTTTTCGTCACAGCGGGGTTTGACGCCACCCATGAGCTGATTGATGCGACGAGTCAACCGGGACCGCAGAGGTTCGAGCGCCGGTCGCTCAATGGCACCCGGCATGGACTTGCGAGAAGGCGACGTCGATTGTAACAGGAGAGGCGTCCGTTCGGTAGAGCCATTTTCCTGGCGCAGAGCAGACGCCGGCTGTTCTTGGCGTCCAACTTCGCCGCGCTCGGGATCTTGGGTTTTTGGTTGGTGAGTATGGGCGCAATCGACGACATGAGAGGGAATATGCTGGTGGATGAAGGCAGAAACAAGTCGAATGACAATCACGCCGGCCACGAAGAGTCCGATCAGAGTGCAGGCCGCGGCGCGGGGCGAGAATCCAGCTCGAGTGAGGTATTCCTTCGAGGTGGGGAGCATGCTATAGAGGGAGGTGAAGAGCTACAGGGATTAGTACTGCAGGTATGAGTGGGGCAATGGAGTAAATGTACCATAACACCAGCACTCAAGCATAGAGAGGCTGATAAGAAGCCATTGCTGTTGACAATTTGGAAGTTCTTGCGGCGAGAGAACCGCCGCAGTATAACATCGATGCAGATGAGGGACGAACCAAGGACGCAGGCTTTGATGAATTAGATTGGAATTACCGCAGTTCGTTCTAGAGAACTTACCTATGCCAGACACTCCGCTCATCAGCCATCCTCGGAGGTCATTATTGGCAGCCATGATGGGCTGAGGGTGGAGGAGCAGTAGCAGGAGCAGTAGCAGTGCGTCTGAGTGGAAAGGGCAGAAGGCGGATGGAAGACTGTGATGTCACGAGAATATCCGGAATGAGTGCCAATAATGACAATGGCAGGAACCACTTTACTCCGCTGTTGGTATAATCACATATGTTCCGATATTCAGAAGTTGTTGTCAACAGGATAAATCCGATAAACCCATCTTGTCGAGGATCAGCCCCCTTGGAACAATACTTGGACCATTCCTCGAGTCCAGGTGGTGACACTCACACATTATAAATACCGCCGCCGTCTTGCTCCCAAGGTCCGCACTGTCACCGCCATACTTACAGGCAGAAGGGCGCTTAGGATTCCCATCATGAAACTGATGGCATCTTATGTCTCACGATGCAGTTGGTAAGAATTCATGCAAAAAGTCTGTCAATAGGCTGGCTTATAGTTTGCTCTGGACAGCGACCATCTCCAAGTGCAAGGGTTCATATCATGTCTCCCCTACTAAATAAGTACTCGGAGATGTCAGCAGAACATTCAAGCAGATGACCATCTACTCTTTTGCAGTTCCTTCAGTACGATTTTCCTCCTATATAGCCAAGGTAGTTGCCTGTCAATATCTCCCTCTTGGGGACTTACTCCCTACCCATCCTGTACCTACAGTGTTGCTGTTGATGTCTCAGCATCTCTGTGCTCTCTGATTGGCTGCTACTTTGGCTTCATCTTTGCTTTCTTCGGCAATATTTTCTTTTTCTCTTCTTAACTCCGCCTCAACTGTCTCCTTCTTTCTACTTTCTTGACTCGGTCCAACGAGTCTTTTAGTTCATATCCATCATGTCGAAAGCTACTATTGCGGCCATCGCTGCCGCCAGTGCAGCTACTGGTGCTGGTATCACCGCTCTCCTTTACTCCTCATCCTCTCGACCTCAACAGCAGCAGCAACAACAACAGCTCCCTCCTCCCCCGCCTCCGTCCCAACCGGCTACAATCTCTCCTCCCGCAACCATTCCTCCTCCCTCTCTGGCCAAGACTCCCGCCAGTAAACCCTCAGGCGGCTCCCCGGTCGATCCTGCCGGTATCTACCAGTATGGCTTCCCCGGTCCCATTGCCGATACGATCACCTCTCTGCCCTTGACTGGCGCCTACGACCGTCGCACACGTAATCCCGCCTGGGTCGCCGAGCACATCACACCGTACTCGCTCTCCCTGAAGAATGCCGACCGGAAACACAGCGCCTTCGTCGAAGACGCCAGCATCCCCGCCATCTTCCGCGCCAAACTGGCCGACTACTTCCGGTCCGGCTACGACCGAGGCCACCAGGTGCCTGCCGCAGACGCCAAATGGTCCCAGGACGCGATGGATGGCACCTTTGCGCTTACCAACATGTGTCCCCAGGTCGGCGAGGGCTTCAACCGCGACTACTGGGCGCACTTTGAGGAGTTCTGCCGCGATCTGACCAAGAAGTACCCCTCCGTCCGCATCGTCACGGGCCCCTTGTACCTGCCCCATCGCGATCCGGACGGCAAGTGGCGCGTCTCGTACGAAGTGATTGGAAACCCGCCCAACGTGGCTGTGCCGACGCACTTCTACAAGGTCATCTACGCCGAGGACGGCACGGCCAGCCCGACCAGCAAGGTCTCGCTGGGTGCGTTTGTGCTCCCCAATGCCCGCATCCCCAACGACAAGCGTCTGGCCGAGTTCGAGGTGCCGCTGGAGGTGTTGGAGCGGGCTAGTGGGTTGGAGTTTGCTTCCAAGCTGGATGTTAGCCGTCGCAAGCGTCTCTGCCAGGAGGTCCGGTGCGATATCGTTGTGCGCGAATTCAACAACGCCAATAAGAGAGCGGCCTAGACTCTGCCGGGCTGAGTGTTCATTTATACAAATTACCCCATGTTCTTTCGGGTGTACCTATATTCGTTCTCGTTTGTCTGGCGTTGGGCGTCCTTTGGACATGGCCTTTCATCTCATAGATCATCTAGTCTAGTCAACTAGTCAAGTAACTGCTACTGGAATACAATTTTCACAAGTACATACCCAGATCCCAAACTCCATGCATGCGCCAATCTTAACATTGAAAGGCAACCCCAGCCTTCATCGCTACATTCCCTCCTGCTCCTGCAAACCCGGTCCCCTCGGAGCTGACCTGCACTAACCCCGGTCGAATCCCCTGCTCCTTATCCGTCTTCTTCGACTTCTTGCCGTTGCCCTTTTCGGTTCCATTCTCCTCAGCTTCGGCCTTGGGATCCCGCGGCGTAATATCCGCCTCGCACACGTAGCAGAGGATCAAGCCGTGTAGTTTCGCCGTCCGCTCCTGTTCCTCTTTGCTGGCATGGGGATCGGGGACATCGTGCGGCGTCATGAACTTGGCGACGCACGGTTGGCAGATAACATGACCGCAGGGTTTCGCCACTAATCTGTTAGCCGGACTGAGCGCGAGCGTTTGTAGTAGGGGCAAACATACACATCGCCTTGAGCCCGTTACTGAGGTTCTTCTTGCAGCTGGGACAGATCCGCGAGACGGTGCCGTCCGCCGCCTTCTCCTCCGTAAAATGCACATCGACCAGCGATTTAAGCGAGTAGGCATGGCGGTTCTCGTCCGTCGACCCAGGACAGATGGGAGTCATCTTGACGGCCTTTTTAGCGGCGATTTCGTTGGGATCGGTCGATGGCGTGAGCGAGGGGACCCAGAACGAAGGGAGCGCGGATTTGCTCGACTCCGACTGCACCAGTTAGCCAAATGTATAACCACATAGTCATCTGCGAGAAGCACCTTCTCCCGCTTGAGCTCCCGCTTCAACCGCTCCTGTTCCTCCCGCGCAATCCGAGCCATCTCCTTCTCATCCAGCTCAAAGATCTTCTTCCGCTTCCCGTCGACCTCAATCTCTCGGGCCTTGAACGCCGCCAATGCCTCCTCCGTCTCCTCCGCCTTGCGCTTCCGTTGATTATCGCCGTTGCCGCCGCCGCCAGTCCCCTTCACATGATCATTCTTCGCGGCCTCCAGCCCCATACTCACGAGCTCAAACTCGCGCAGTTCCCTCCGCCGCGCATCCTCGAGCGCTCGCTCTTCGTCCTCGGCCAGGCGCTTCCGGGCCTCCTCGCGTTCTCGCTCGAGACGCTTAATCTCCTGCCGTTGGGCGAGGAGGTCGTTGATGGCGCATTCGCGACAGAAGAGGTCGCCGTTCGTGGCGCAGGCGACGGGGGTTCGGGCGGGTTGCAGGCAGAGTCGACACGAGCCAAAGGGGAGGAAGGAGTCGCGGCTGATGACGCCGCGCTTGGTGCCCCAGGTTGAGCGGAGGAGACCCCGTTCGTAGGAGGTGAAATGGGGGAGAGAGGTGTTTCGTTTGGAGTGCGCCATTTTGGGTTGTGGTGGTGGTTATCGGCGCATTTATCTCGGGGGAGGGTGGTGTTACGGGCGGGACTCGATGAGACAGAGTATGTATTTTAAAAGTAGTTTAGCTATACACAGACAAGAAGGACAGCATCTGGCTGGGTTGAAAGATGAAACGCATTTAAAGGTTGAGGGGAAAAGTTGGGGAATCTGAAGAAACGAAGCTCTGGGGATGAAGATAGATAAAGCGTGACATGACATAATCATTGATCCGTCGTCCACTTCTTTCTCGCCGTCACTCCACCTTCATCTCCATTCCAGCCTTCCCATCACTAATTTCCGTCAAGAATTGCTGAATACTCCAACATGTGAGGGAACGAAGTCACCAAAGCTCAATAGGAGCAAATTTCTCGATCTCCGGCAGAACAGGAGGCGTCTCGAGCACCACTCTCTTTCTGGCTGCCACCTCGTGCACAGCGGGCTGCGATGGCACCGACTCGTGCTTGTGAGGAGACACCTGGGTCCGTGGTCCGCCAAGCGTCTCATGCTCCTGTTTGCCCTCTACTTCGTCTTCCTCGTCGGCTCGCTTCTTCGGTTCGTTCTTTGCGCCTAGTAGGTGCCGCAGAGCTTCCCTGTCGTGCTCTCTGAATTCCCGCTGCTGCCGTTCTGGCTTCTCCTTGTCGTGAACCTCGAATTCGGCCGCCAGTTCGCGGCAGAGATCCAGGAAATCCTTTTCTGGCTCGATGCAGTCTGGATCCGTATTCGTAGCCTCCTTAGCCGCTTGTTCCTCCCTCTTCTTCTTCCTGGCTGCCTTCTTTCTCTCTTGCTTTCTTTCTGCCTCCTTTGCCTTTTTCTCCTCGATTATCCGTTTCCTCACCTCGGGATCGTACCACCATGGTATGAACTCGACAGGGTCTGGCTCCTCGTCCTCGAATTTCTTCCGTCTTGCATCCTGCGCATCGTAGCGGATGAGGTATCTACTCTCTCCCGGCTTTGCCAGGCTGTCAGGAATGCGACAGTAGCGGTGCAGTCGGATGTACTCGTCCGGCTTTGCTGTGAGCATGAACAAGACATCTGCAGAGTGCTTTTGATCTGCAAACATGAAATAGCATTGTTTCACAGCGGACCGGCCACGGGTGCTAGCTCCAAAGCCCGGCATGAGAGGAGGCATCTGGCAATAGACCCTGATTCTGTCGTACAGATGACCATTGGGACCATGGAGACTCAGAACCAAGCCGCGTGCCTTGATCAAGAAGAGCATAGCCCGGCCGAGATCGCAGTTGAATCCCGCAATCAGCGCGCAGTAGAGCCAGACCTGGACCCCGCGAGTGTCGCTGATCTTGAGCCGCTCGTACAGCTTAATCAGCTCGTAGGCGTTCTTGAACACCACAGCGGGGCGTTTATACAGTGTATCTGCGTCTTCGAAGATGGTCTCGAGAGTGTAGAGCTTCTCCAGAGCATTCTCCGTCTCGCGGACGGGGTCGCGACAGAACGGACACACGCACCAGAACTTGCAGTACATACTGGACATCAACTGGCGTACTCCACACTCCCCCTTGGCGTAGAAGTAAGCAACGGTGATCTCCTCGCCTGGCTTGATGTCCCTGGACGCACGCACCACCGCCCGTCCAATCCTCGGCGGCAGGCTCTTATCCTCGTCCCCATTCTCA